GCTTTTCCTGCTTAGAAACTCGTCTTATACGAAGGAAAATACGGTAGTGCATATTTGAAAATAGTGCAATGAATTACAGCTTGGATTAAAGCATCAGATGAAATAGGGTTTCATATGAAAGCTTTCAAAATGTCAAATTAACTACAATTAGCCCTTTATTAGGAATATTTGTTTCTAAACTTTCCTTTATTTCAAACCTTTTATTATTTGCTCCTAATCTTCCATTTGCTCACTCGGAAAAGAGGATGAGAAGGAAATAAAAAAGGGAAAGGAATCCTGGGAAATATAGATGTATTCAGATTTTCAGCAAACCAGGAAACTAGCCTAGGAAAAGAAAGATACAGTTCAGCACATCCAGGAAGTCAGGGAGAAAAGTGCTTGTATGTGAAAAAGAGAGAACTGCAACTAAGCTGGAAGTCCAGTTAAGAACAGAACCTGCTCTCCAAGAAAAGACATACTATAGGTCCCAAAGTCTTCAAAACATTAAATACTGGTCAATAGAGGCCAGAACTGGGTCTGATTCAATGTGTTCATAATAGTATGTTGTTGTATGCCGTTGTTGTATGCCTTCAAGTCATTTCCAACTTACAGTTATCCTAAGATGAACCTTCCCCAGCTACTGACCAACTTGGATTGAAGATTGCTGGGGATTTTGTGTTTGTGATCAATTTTATGACTGTAGTCTGTAGTGTAACAGTATATGGCATAGCCTTCTTGGAGGATGCACCCTGGCTATAGAGCTTCTTCTCAGAGGAGATTGGGTTATCCCTCTCACTGTTGTGATCTGGGTGCCAGATAAAAACATGTTTATTGTTGCTTTCCATTGGGATAGAATTCAGAGATATAGCTAGATATCAGTATGTAAAGGGATCTTGTAGTCTCAAGATGCATGTTTATTTGTGTATGTTTTTGAGGTATGTTTGAGGGATGAATTGCTACATTGGTTTAGTTGCTGACCTTTGCTGATGTGATTTTAGCAATATGATCTTCATGTTGTCAGAATCTCTTACTATATTTTATTTATGTTTTAAGCCACTCTGGGCCCTTTCAAGGTATAATGGGATGCATAAATAAATAAATAAATAAATAAATAAATAATAGCCACCTCAGTTCTCTAGATATCAATCCTGATATAGCCAGAACATTCTTAAGCAGAAAATAGGAATTCTTCGGGCCTATAAGACTAAGACTTACGGAAGTTCAGAAAGGTTTTGAGAAAAAATCTCAAGGGATGAGATTTTTTCTCAAAACCTTTTTTTCTCAAAACCTTTTTCTCAAAACAATCCAATAAAAACTGAACATAGGTGCTGAACGTTGCATGTCTTTTTGAAGTAGAGGGGGTTAAAAATGTGTCATTATGAGAAAGTCTGCATTCTTTGGGGCTTTGTGAAGCAAACCATCTAGTGATGTCTCCAGTACTTTTAATTATTTCACCTTTTGTGAAAGTGTCTGGTGTGTCTGGATAACAGCTATAATTTTCACTTACATTGTTTAGTAGAGGTGCCTTTATCAGTCACGAATAAGTTTGATTTGAGATACAATAAAATGCTCTTTAGAAAGCAAGTGTTTTGCTTGCTCTCTTAGTTATGGTAGATTGCAGAATCCTTGGATCATTTTCATTCTTTAAAATACAATATGGTATTCTCTCACCTTCTGAGGCTTGGGTTGTAAAGGGGGAACAGAAAATGAACTATGCTGGTGGAGGTAGCCTTTGTCATGAATGATACAGGGAAACTGTATCACCCTTAATTCTCAGCATACCCTAATGATGATGGTGATAGTGATAGTGAAAGTGAGAGAATCTTGTGGCATCCTTAAAAATTACCAAAACTTGCATGCTGTTTTCCTCTGTAGAATGCATAAGTTTGTACCCATATGAGAGGTTCACTGGTATACGAATTCTCTCCATAGATTTGTATGTGCAAGGAGGGAGCTAGAAGTAGCTATGAACATGTACAACAGGTAACTGACAACTGTTGCTTAGACTAGACTGTAAGAACTCAAGAAATGAAGGTTTACTTTGTAAAATGATGATGCCCAATGGCTGAATCATTCCAGTGATAATCTATAGAATGGAGCTACAATCTGCTTTCCTTCTACATTTTTATTTATCTAACACAGGGGTAGGCAACCTTTTTGAGCCAGGGGCTGGGTTGCTGTCCCTCAGAAAATTGGGGGGCCGAAGAACCAAAAATAAATAAATGAATAAATAAATAATTTTTAAAAAATAAATTAAAAAAATTAAAAATATGCATGCGCACTCTCTCAGACCCAGAAAAGCCATGGCAAAACCCCTGTGTAGATTTTGCCAAGAAAACCCCAAGAACAAGTAATAATAACAATAATCAATATCATCATGGCGGGTGGCAGCGGTGGCAGTGGCAGGACCAGCCCGGGGCTGGTCCAAAGGCCTCACGGGGCCGCATTCGGCCCCCGGGCCTTAGGTTGCCTACCCCTGATCTAACATATAGTTCATTTCCTCATAAATTGACCAGATGGCAACACCTCTGGAGTCTCTTGCTGACAAGTCACTATTATTGTACTAGCCATAAGCACTGGCTTCTATTGATGTCATACATTTTATGTTAGTGGTCAAGCATCTGTTGAGCTTTCATATGGTAGGAGTGAAAATATTTCCCAGGCTTGTGGTGTTACAACAAACAAGTTAGGTCATCAGTCAGGTTGGGGGAGCTGGAAGAAAAAGAAAATATTATTTACAGGGTACATGTTGTGGGACAATGGCATATTTCTGTGTGTCATTCTGCAGTCTGCTACGGGCTTGATTTAGCTTTGCACCACATCTGATTTGCCTATTTTCCATAATATTTGAGGCTAGTTCATTACTGTGCAGCTTTTGGTTTTGTTTGCTTTGCTTTCCATTTGTTGAATCTCACCCCTCATATACTTGGGACAACAAGTGATGTGCAGTTGGGTATTTTGGGGAATAATGTGATCGAGAACAGTGTTCTGTAAATGTATCAGTGACTTCTTCTCTAGCTATCTGTGGTGAAGGGATTTTTCTCTGTCTTGGAATTACAAACATCAGCAATGTTCATGACAGTAAAATTGATACTTTTCTTCTCTGTGCCTATATCATAAGAATGCTAATTTGGATGGTCTTTGGGTAACTCAAGGGTATCATGGTTTTGCATCACTTAAAAAAAATCCCAGCAATATTCATCACTCTCCTCCATTGCTTGCCCTGGGTCCTTACAGCCTTTTCCAAAATAGGATCCTGTGAGCATTTTGCAGGTGAAGTTCTGTATAACAGTATTGTTTTTTTTGATAAACTAGTCCTTTGAATTTTGCACTAGAATGGTGTAGGAAGAGTCAAGCACTAAGCAGTGCTTGCGTCATTGACTATCTTTTCTAGAAGCTTTTTGTCTTTTAACCTATGATGTGTGCCATTTTTGTTTTCAGGAGATGACAAGTATGGGCGGAAAGTTATTCTGTTCAGTGCCTGTCGGATGCCTCCCAGCTATCAGCTTGATCATGTGAAACTGCTGAGGTGAGTGCTGCTATAAGGAGACACCTATTTTGCTGAAGCTTAATCCTGAGATTCTTCCATTCTGTAGAATGTAGATATAGTGATTTTTGACTGGCTATATCAGTGAAAAGTCCTTTAGTACTGAGCTGAGAATTGCCTCTCATTCATCCCACCAACTTTTTAAGAGGCTGTATCTTCACATCTTTCTCTTTGCAGCAGCTAGATTGCCTTTATGCTAACCACAGAATAGAAAAAATAAATATTAAAGTCTTGATATGTCCATCTTACTTTCAGCTATTTGAAGTATACATTGGACCAATATGTGGAGAGTGACTACACCCTAGTGTATCTGCACCATGGTCTGACCAGTGAGAACAAGCCCTCCCTGAGCTGGCTACGGGATGCCTATCGGGAATTTGACCGCAAGTAAGTGTACTTGGTAGTGGATTTTGAAATGTTTAGGTGCAAAGATTTGAAGTGTAATTAGTACTGTAATATAGGATGTCCTAAGAGCCAGTGTGGTATAGTGGTTTGAGTGCTGGACTACAACTCTGGAGACCAGAGTTCTATTCCCTCCTTGGCCATAAAACCCACTGTGTGACCATCAGCTAGTCACATGCTCTTAGCCTCAGGGGAGGCAATGGCAAACTTCCTCTGAACAAATTTTGCCAAGAAAATCCTATGATAGGTTTGCCTTAGAGTCATCATAGGTTGGAAATACCTTGAAGGCACACAACAACAAAGATTATATAGCCTAGTAGCTTTTGGGAGATGAGTGTTTTGAGATGGTTGCTCATTTTTTTTCACAGCAAGTCAAGTTATCTCTGTCTGTCATCATTTTTAGATACAAAAAGAATATCAAAGCATTGTACATTGTGCACCCAACCATGTTCATCAAGACACTGCTGATTCTCTTTAAGCCTCTGATCAGGTAAGAGAAGGTGAATGTGCTATTTTTGCAACCCTCCACCCCTCCCTGCTCTCCAGACTGCTTTTATCTGGCCCAAAAAAAGGTGAATTGCCCTTTCTAGATGTTTCCATAGTTATAGTTCACTTTTCTAATGTGTTTTGGAGCTCCTCTTTGTCATTAAAAATACCCTTTTGTTTTCTGAAACTGGAAGTGGACTTTCGGTAATCTCTCTTTGGTTATCTATGCAGCTCCAGTGGGCCTGAAGCAGAAAATTGGCCACCAGACCTACAGCTACCCTTCCCTGGTCTATTAGATCTTGACTCTCCTCCAAAGATAATAAATTGACCTCTTACCAGTTTTTTCCAAATTTGTCCCAGCAACAACCTTGAGAGAAAGGTCAGGCTGAAAGGAAGTGACTAGAACACAGTCAGCAAGTGAGGATTTATATTTCAGTCTCCCTAGTTTATGTTGCGTAAGCTAACTGCTGTTCTACATTGAATATAATTTGAATAAGATGAGAATCCAACATGCTGAAGTTTGTTCTTTGCAAGTATATTCACACATGTCCCCTTTTAAAAGTTGAGTTTTTAAAAAACAGTTTTTTTCTTACAGATGTTTGATAGTTCCTGATACAATTCACAAGTTTCTCTAAATTTTCCCTTTATATTTAAGCTTTCCGTTACCAACTTGGCTTGCACAATGTATTTCTCAAAGTCAGGAGGGAAGATGGTGCCATGTTTTCACATACTTTGGACTTCTTTAGCAGACAGTTCAGAAATTGTTCTGCAAACCATTACCTCATTGATGTGAAAACCCTGAGAACATAGTTTGTTCATTCCTTCTTTTTTGTTCATAGTCAGCTGCAGAATTCAGCTTGATTAATGATGTTTTTTGACCTGCACTGGACCACTGTCCATGACTTACAGGAATCACAAGTTCCCAGCTTTTGCTGAGTTGTGCTTGCATTGTTTGTGTAAGTGTTACTTAATTGGCTGATATCCCAGGCTTCCTACAGAGATTTCCTGGCCTGTGACTGGTGGGGGTGGGGAAAATGAAAACATAAAATACTGTGCAGTGTTAGCAGAATCTTCAAGCTACAGTACTATCTTTAGGAAGAAGAGCAGCTTCCAAACACTTGCTAGGCTTAAGGATAGGATATAATTCCAGTAATCTATTACAGTCTGCCCTCCACATTTGCAGGGTTTAGAGGGGCAAGACCCCTGCAAAAGTAGAAAACTCACAAATATGGGAAAAGCCAAGGAGGAGAAGCAGACGCACACACTCTTGCAGGGTGCTCTATTCCTGGGCTTTTTGTCAGTCCCACAGGAGAGGGGAGGAGACCAGGATGGAAGAGGAGAGTGCACGCTCTTCCAGGCCATGCAGGGTGGGGGAAGAGTGCAGTTGCCCTTCAGACAAACTTGTGAATAATCAAATCCACGAATGTGGAGGGCTGACTGTAATTACTATAGTTTTTTTGTGAGGTTTTTTGGGCTGTGTGGCCATGTTCTAGAAGAGTTTCTTTCTGACATTTCACCAGCATCTGTGGCTAGCATCTTCAGAAACTTTTTTCTCTGAAGATGCTAGCCACAGATGCTGGCGAAACATCAAAAAGAAACTCTTCTAGAACATGGCCACACAGCCCGAAAAAAAACCCACAAAAAAACTATAGATGCCGGCCATGAAAGCCTACAACTTCACATTGTAATTACTATGTCTGTGCAGTTAAAAACAAGAGGGCATGCCTTTCAACTTTTTCGTACTGTGTCTACCATCCATCCTCAAATATGTTGCTGCTTCCCATAGCTACCCTAATATCTTACATACTGTTTTGTCATCTGTCTTGCAGTTTTAAGTTTGGACGCAAGATTTTCTATGCAAACTACCTGAGTGACCTGGAGGAACATGTGAAGTTGGAACAGTTGGGGATCCCAAGCCAGGTGCTAAAGTGAGACTATGCTATTTTTCTACTAGCTTTACCCCAGCTTACTTAGAGGTGGCTGTACCAAAGAGAATTGCTGAATGAGAGAAAAGAGAAAGGAGGGAGAGTGAGGAAAAACTGGTCAGGAAGGACCCTCTTTGGAGGTCTATAAACAGAGGCTGGATGGCCATCTGTTGGGGGTGCTGTGATTGTGTCTTCCTGCATGGCAGGGGGGTTGGATTGGATGGCGCTTGTGGTCTCTTCCAACTCTGTGATTCTATGAGTCTTTGAATCCAGTTTGCCTATACATTCTCATATAATGCTGTGAATTGATGGGATAACTCTTAATAAGAGTCAAGATTTTCTTCTTCTTCATGTTTGTGTCCCATTTCCTACTGTCTTTATGTTGGATGTTATATCCCAGACATCCATCTCTGTCCCTTTCTGCCCTTTTTACTCTTTTAGCTGTTGCTAGGGAGCTAATTATTAATCTCTTGAATCAGGACTTTCTGTCACTGCCAGTCTGGACCTGACTATTTATGGTGCCAGACTCTGACATTTCACAAGTGTCTCATAGCTTCCTCAGAGGTGTGCAGCAATTATTAGGCTGTAACTGTTGCAGGAGATATTTGTGAAAGAACTTACCAGGACTTTCCCTTATGAGGTCCTGAGGTAAGAGGATAGCAGACATCAGCTTAGAGTTTCCCATGTAAGATGGTATGATGCCATACATATTTTTCTGTTTCTTTGTCTCACTCTAGGTATGATGAATATCTGAGATCATTGCAAAAGCCCTCCCAAGTGCCTCAGAAAGTAACACCACCCCGCCCACCGTTGCCAAACCAACAGTTTGGAGTTTCTCTCCAGCAGTGAGCATTCCTATTCTTTTATTTAACATCTTGGTTCGGTGATGATTGTGTTTTGTTTGTCAGTAATTTTGGAAATAGTTTCCAATATTCTTGAATCTACAGCTCTGCTCAGTGTTTTTCCTGACACTCTGAGTTGCTAAGATCACATTCTGAAAGATCTTGGAGATTAGGTCAGGTTCAAAGACTTGGGTGCTTTTGTAGTTCCCAAATACTTGAGTTCTCATATGATTTTCAGAGTGCTGCTGCTAAGTGTTCAAGGTCTTGCTGGGTACATCATTTAGCTCAAATAAGCTTAGGAGAATCAACAGAGAGGATCTAAGTTTCTCCTTTCTCAACAGCTTAAGGGAGAAGAGCCCAGACCAGAATCCCATCCCTCTGGTGGTCAAAGAAACCATTGCCCATCTGCAGGAGCATGGTGAGTGAGCTAAGAAAATCTCTGTTCAGATTTATCTTGTGTCTCTTTCAGTCTCTCACAACACTCTTCTAGGTTGCATGAGCTCTAGCCAGAGACGGCTGGTAGATCCACTACCATGAATGTACCCAATCTACTCTGGATTTTACCACCACTTCCCACAGTGCTCCAGTTTGAATAGGAGCTCTGTCAGTGCATGACGATAGCAAAGTTCCCATTCAACTCAGAACTGTGATTTATTTATTTGTTGCCTTTCTCCCAAAATGGGGTTCAAGTTGTGGGAGGAGCAGTGTTCAAATCCTGAGTGGATTTGTTGCATCCACAGTGGAAGATCCTCCCACCCACCTACCAGTCAGCTTACTTCAGATGTCTTAGCACCATCCTGCCATAAATTCATTCTTTTTCCCATCCTATGTTACTGTTTTTCTTTGAACCAGAATTAGGACTTCGGAAAATTGGGATGAAGTTGAGCAGGGGGGAGACGAGCTGCTTTAGGTTTCTTGCTACTGATATTCCCAAAATGCCTTCAGCATACTGCTCCATTTAAATATCTCTGTGTCCAAGTCATCTTGGAATAGAAGCTGTGATTCTTCCATTTCACTGACCTGAACTGTTGTTGGTTTACAAGGCTCCCTCTTCTTGAAGATGTGTCATGGTTGTTGCTCAAATTGCCAGTGATAGATCTGCTCTTCTTTCTCTGTATTCCTAGCTCTTACCACACAGGGGATTTTCCGTCGATCAGCAAACACACAAACTGTCAGAGAGGTTCAGCAGAAGTACAATATGGGTAAGTACTTGCTTTTGTTCCAGGAATATGCTTAAGCCACACAACTCTTCTTTCCCTTCTGTCTAGGCCTTAAATCTACCCTTGGCACGTGGAAGTCCTGTCAAACCATAAGGAGTTTTATCTTTGAATAGAACTTTGTTAGAAACCTGGCTGTAATCCAACAGTTCTGATCCCTTTGATAGAAACCTGTTCCAGAATAGATGTCCACATTCTGAGTAAAGGAATGTATTTAGCCTGCCACAGCACTTGTGTTTAACCAGTATAACAAGTTTCTCTTCTGTCTCTGTCTGTACACATCCATTGTCCCTGCTATTTCTTCTCCAAACATTCCTAGTTGTTGCTGATTGAGGGCCTTTGCACACTGCTAGAAATAGTGCAAATTGAGTCCACTTTAACTGCCCTGGCTCAGTGCTAGGGAATAATGGGAATTGTATTTTTTTCTGAGACATTGAGCCTTCTCTGTCAGAGAGCTCTGGTGCCACAATAAACTACAGTTCCTATGATTCCCTAGCACTGAGCCAGGGCAGTTAAAGTGGAGTCAATTTGCACTATTTCTGGCAGTCTGCAAAGTCCCTGAGAGGAGTTTCAGGTGCCACTGATTATTTTGTCAGACTGTGTATGCTGTCTGCATCTGCCTTTCCAGCTCACAATATTATGGTCAATGCTTTTATGTGTTTGGTTAGAGATA